ACTTGGCCACATGTCACGTCACATTCATCTTCATCTGACGCTTGTAAACAACTCTGGACTGCAGTTAAGAGATTTTCCAAAAGTATCAAAACACTAACAGTACACGAACACAGTTCAAATGTACCATGACATAGATGTATTATGAATACTTTGATATTTGGTAATCACCATCATATTAATGTATTACCTCCTGACTGTACCATGGTACTGCCACAACACTCAATATTTTTGTCTAGTTCTGTGTCAAGTAAACTCTTTTACTGGTGATTTGTAACCCAACAGAACTGAAAATGTAAAAATGTTGCTCTCAAAGTCACCAACATTGAACGCTGTTTGAGTGTTTTTAATAGGCCTGCAGCATTTCCTTTCAAAATAAGGGTGCCCTGTTTTACTTGATGGCCCTACCAGTATTTTAACTTTGTTTACTTCTGTTCCTGGTTATGTGTATTTTATAAATCAATAGCATGCTATGGCTATGTTGATTTAAAAGTGTTGGTATTCATTTTCATGTTGTCAATGTATTAGGTTTCAAAAGTATCCACAAGTGCCAAACTGTAAAATCTGTAATGTAATGTTGTCTCAAAAGTAAAAATATACAGTGACACTTGTATTTTAGTATGACATGTTTTGAATTTGTTTGTGTATTACTGGTTCAAAATGTTATTTGTTGCTTATATTTTAATGTTCATATAAATAAGAATATTAATGAGAATATAAATGACTTGAATTTGTTGGAAGAGACTTTTGTTTGTAGCAAGTAGGGTGGGGTAGGGTGAAACTAAAGAGATGGAAATATTAACATTTAAGGAAATTATGGGTTTAATGGCTGGTTAGTTTCCACCGGGTGTGCCTCACGTCCTGAAAAGTGAAGCTGCGGGCTCTTTGATCGCCCCCTGCTGGCTGGCTGCAGTACAGGTCATAAACCCCACCCTCTCCATGTAAACAAATGGGACTTGAGTCAAGATAAAAAAATAAAATTACACTTCCAATACAATTTTCCAAAAGATAGTTTTGGTTATTAGAGGTAGTTGTTATCACGCTGATATATGTTGAATTGTTCGTTTTTGTGATAAGTTTGATTTTAGCTAGTATAATGCAGCTCCAACTCACGACACTACTGCACAGACTCTGGCTCCAAACGAATCTCTACTGCGCAGACTCGGGCTCCGTCATTTACTCAAGATGGCAGCGGCCATACTGAGATGCTTTGGCTTCACTTTTCTATAGTGGAAGGAAGCGGAGACGCGTTGTCCATCTTTTTTTTTACAGTCTATGGTTTCCACATTTAACTGGTAAAGGCCTGAACTAAAACATTATGTGGACAAAAATAATGTTTCTCCACTGATGGATACTCAAAAGTAAGTGTATTCTGATGAAATAAAAATATTTTGGTTAAAGATCCATCCAGTTATATATATTTGCAAAATACATGTTTTGTTTCTCAGAATGGTGGTGGACTTATTAAAGGGGACATCGGATGCAAAATTCACTTTTACATGGTGTTTGAACTTAAATGTGTGTTGGCAGTGTGTGTACACAAAGACCCTATAATAATAAAAATCCATCCAGTGCTTTTTTTTTTAAAATCCCCACATATCATAAGCACTTTCTCAGATCAAGCCGTTCACAGATTCTTGGCAAAGTGACGTCACTTTGCACAGGCCCCTCCCACGACTGTTGACGGACACGACCGTTTTATCATAGACCCACCCTGAGTGAGCTGTAAACAGCCCGCCATTGTTTCGACACCTAAAGGTGTTCTGTTGTTGAATGTAAGAATGAACATAGCAGTCGTCATTTACTCCCAGCATCTGAGCCGCTGAAGATGCAGTGGATCACTTTTGTTTTTGAAGGGAGTGCGCCCCCCGATCTACCTAAATGCGTTTATATCTGCACAAGTCATTTTACTCTAGACTGCTTTCTGAACAAGGAACGATTCAAGGCAGGTTTTGCTAAAAAGTTGAAACTCAAGGATGGATCAGTACCCACTGTTCGTAATCCAGCTGCACCTCCAGAAGTAAGTCCCACATTTTATATTTTTATGAATATTTGCTAACCGATCTACCTAAATGTATATATATCTGCACAAGTCATTTTACTCTAGACTGCTTTCTGAACAAGGAACGATTCAAGGCAGGTTTTGCTAAAAAGTTGAAACTCAAGGATGGATCAGTACCCACTGTTCGTAATCCAGCTGCACCTCCAGAAGTAAGTCCCTCATTTTATATTTTTATGATTATTTGCTAATCGCCTTTCCTCTTTATGTGGACAAAAATAATGTTTCTCCACTGATGGATACTCAAAAGTAAGTGTATTCTGATGAAATAAAAATATTTTGGTTAAAGATCCATCCAGTTATATATATTTGCAAAATACATGTTTTGTTTCTCAGAATGGTGGTGGACTTATTAAAGGGGACATCGGATGCAAAATTCACTTTTACATGGTGTTTGAACTTAAATGTGTGTTGGCAGTGTGTGTACACAAAGACCCTATAATAATAAAAATCCATCCAGTGCTTTTTTTTTTAAAATCCCCACATATCATAAGCACTTTCTCAGATCAAGCCGTTCACAGATTCTTGCCAAAGTGACGTCACTTTGCACAGGCCCCTCCCACGACTGTTGACGGACACGACCGTTTTATCATAGACCCACCCTGAGTGAGCTGTAAACAGCCCGCCATTGTTTCGACACCTAAAGGTGTTCTGTTGTTGAATGTAAGAATGAACATAGCAGTCGTCATTTACTCCCAGCATCTGAGCCGCTGAAGATGCAGTGGATCACTTTTGTTTTTGAAGGGAGTGCGCCCCCCGATCTACCTAAATGCGTTTATATCTGCACAAGTCATTTTACTCTAGACTGCTTTCTGAACAAGGAACGATTCAAGGCAGGTTTTGCTAAAAAGTTGAAACTCAAGGATGGATCAGTACCCACTGTTCGTAATCCAGCTGCACCTCCAGAAGTAAGTCCCTCATTTTATATTTTTATGATTATTTGCTAATCGCCTTTCCTCTTTCTCAGAAGAGAGGGGTGGGGTGAGCAGAGCTCATTAGCATTTAAAGAGACATGCACCGAAACGGGTCGCTGTGAACAGAGCTGGTTTTGACAAGGTAAAAAGGGTGTTATTTTACACGACCATTGAGGAATTTTAACCAAAGTATGTTTTCATGTATGTAGTATGTATGTAGTATGTAGTACATACTATGTATGTAGTCATAGCAACTTGTGGAAAATGGGCATCCGCTGTCCCCTTTAATTATCAGTTTAGATCTCTCTCTGGTATGCTGCAACAGAAACCATATTTAAAAAAAAAAGTTGTGGAAAAGCTATCCAGCTCAACAACTGAGCTATTGTAGGCATTTAAATCCGCAGCTTGAATCACAATTATTTATTAGAGGAGTGTGAAATCTACAAAATAAATAACTTCTGTTCATGAAAGGGAGTCCAGGTGGTGATCAATAAACAAGAACCATCGAACCATCATCTTCCCCAATTATTGACCTGAAGTGCTTGATAGTAAAGCCTCTGTGCATTTTATTGTGTGAGAGGATGGTGGCGACAAGACGAGAGAGATATACAGTGAGAGAAAAGAGATAAAAGAATGTAAGATCACCATTAAAATGAGACAAGAAGTAACCCCTGTAAAGTCTTAATATATTATCACATTGCTTTAGATGTCACATTAACAGCTGGAAGTCCTGCTCTGCACCATTTTTTGCTCTGCTGTGGGGTAACAGTAGTGTGTTATTCTACAATATACTGCAATATGTTGTGGTAGTTCACCCAAAAATAAAAAATTCTGTCATCATTTACTCACCCTCATGTTGTTCCAAATCTATATGGCTTTGTGTGAAACCCAAAATCAGATGTTTAGGCCAGATGTCCAGGCTGCTCTTTTCAATAAAATAAAAGTGGATCTGCTGTGGTCACATAGTTTAGAAAGTCAGTCATACAGGTTTGGGACAATAAATGATGGCATAATACTCATTTTTGTGTGATTTCCTTTAAGCTATGTATTGTGCAGAGCTGTGTTGTCACTCTCTGACCTGTGCTGTGTGACAGTATCTTTAATTGTGTTGTACTGTACTGCGGAGGCTGGCTTTCTGACACAGCAGATTTTATTTCATCATGGCCTTTCATGTTCTCTTCAAAACTCAAGGATGGATCAGTACCCACTGTTCGTAATCCAGCTGCACCTCCAGAAGTAAGTCCCTCATTTTATATTTTTATGATTATTTGCTAATCGCCTTTCCTCTTTCTCAGAAGAGAGGGGTGGGGTGAGCAGAGCTCATTAGCATTTAAAGAGACATGCACCGAAATGGGTCGCTGTGAACAGAGCTGTTTTTGCCAAGGTAAAAAAGGTGTTGTTTTACACTACTGAGGAATTTTAACCAAAATATGTTGCAGACATTTCATGAAGACCCTAAAGCAGTGGTCGCCAACCCGTCGATCGCGATCGACTGGTAGATCATTATCACTGTCCCAGTAGATCCCGAAAATAACAGTAAAATAAGTACAAAAATGCATTACATTTCTGGGGGACCGGCGCATCACTAATTAAAATACTAAGTAAAAGGCCTCAAATTTGAAGTACAATCTGGGATGTCTTTTTCTATCAATTCTTCAATAGGTAGATCTTGTCTTTCATAAAGGCAGAGGTCAGGGATCTTGGGCCTAAAAAGGTTGGTGACCACTGTCCTAAAGAATCATACCAACTTGTGGAAAATGGGCATCCGATGTCCCCTTTAAGAAAGAACATGTCTAAAGATTTAACTGAATCACCCAAGCTTTTATCACAGATTCCTACCACCTACAGCACATAAACATATTTTATGTCATCATCAAGAGAGAAAATTTAATGTGCTTTTATAAGATTTAAACATTGAAATTGTGATATGAGTTGAGCAGTTAGCCAACAACATCATGACTGAATCATTGTGCAATTCTAGAAATTTTTCATCTAAAAACACCAAATTCTTAATCATTAACCAAGAGTAGCTCTATACAAATAAGAAGCACAGAGACCGTAGATGATTTGTTCTTCTCTTTAGCACCACAGAAACAGTCATCATGACTTTATTTCAGCTCGTCTTAATCTTGATATTAAGTTCCTGCATGGCACAGGATGAGGATATAATGACTCCTGTGGTGAACATCTTCCCTGAGTTGAAGGAGCTTAAAGCTTCAATTAATAGACTGACAACGGATCTGAACACTGCTAACAATGAACTCGCAGAGCAGAAAAGCTTGATTCAGGAGCTGCAGAAACAGATTAAAGGTACATTCTCTGGTTTGATTTACATTTCGATGCATGAGTTATTATGAGTTTGAAACCACATAGAAAAGTTTTTGCAACCACTTTATCATTTGGCATCACATTTTCTAGTTTTATTTACTGACTGCTTAAAGTAAACTAACCTTTTTTTTTCCATTCACAGAGAGTCCTAAAGTGGCATTTACTGCATCCATGTCAGCTACAGAGAGTACAAACCGAGGGCCTTTTAGTACAGAGACCAAGCTCATCTTTGATAAAGTCCTAACCAACATTGGCAATGCATATGACCCAATCACAGGTTGCTGGATATTCAGTTTGACATTTTGTGATTAAAAAAAAAATAATATTTTTTTTTGAAAATGAAAATGAAAATAAATCATAATTTTTCATAATTGAATTTTTAAACAATGTTTAATTTGTAGTATTGAGATCCTTGCTTTTCTCTGTTGCAGGAGTCTTCACAGCACCTGTTAAAGGTGTGTATTACTTCAGGTACTCAGGCTCCGCGTTTTCCTCCCATGATATGGGTCTGAGCATCTTTAAAGGCACGACACGATTTGTGTCTTCATACGAATATAATTCTGGCGAGAGAAACGACCAAATGGCCAATGGAGCTGTGATGGAGCTGGATGTTGGCGAGGAGGTTCACATGAGGCTGTGGATCAGATCCTGGATCTTTGTGGATCGACGCTACAACTATTCCACTTTCACAGGCTACCTGCTTTACCCACTGGATTCTACTTCTGTATAATTTATCTGTGTGCGTTATTTTGTAAAATTTCAGAAAGAACTGTTTAACAGTGCTGAAAATATATCATGTTTCTTTACTGTGTTAATCGTGCATAAATGTAATTAAAAGGTCACTATTTCAGATATACAGACAAAAACCAGAGTTCCCTCTTTACTCTTCTATGGAACATTGATTTTCATTCAGGCACATCACTTGGCTATCCAAATGGGGACTTGTCATAGACTTCTATCGTTTTATATAAAGCTTTTATTTTTTATTTTATTTTTCTCAATTGAATATGTTCCTAGGTGGCAACTTCATGATGGCAGCCTAACAAATCCACACACACAACACCAGTCAAATACATATTCTGGGTTAAATAAAAACTAAGCTTGATTGACAGTATTTGTGACACATAGAAAGTAAGTTTGGTCTTCAGTTTGTAAAAATGAAAAACATGTTGACAACAATGCACTTAAATTAATGCACAAAGTAGAAATAAACTATTTTCCTTTGTTTTACTTTATTCTAGGATCAATCTACAAAACAAATATAAAATCTGGCATAAAACTTCAGAGAATTTAATATTTGTCTAACAAATAAAGTGATCAACAAAATTGAAAAGGAGAGATTTTTATGCCAAATCATTGATAATTTGTTTCCAGGAATGTGTCATTGCTATGTGCATAACTGTGGCATTTCAAAGTGCTTTTATTTAAAAAGGCCTATGTGGAGTTGGGATAATGCCATAATGTCAGTAATATATCCAGACTTTCAATGGGTTGTACATTCCCTTGCAAATCACCTGTTCAAATCATTTCTGAAAATGCCTTTTGCCCCAAGTTGAAATTCAGCTCAGAGTTTCCATCCTCATGTTTTAATTTGAAGATGTTTTTTTTTTTTTTTATGTTGTAGATAATGTACAATGCAGTAACTAAGGACACTGAATTGTATTCAAGGTATTCACCTCTTATTGTCTAAGATGAGCAGGTATGGGCAGCACACAGGCAGCTATGTGTGTGTTTGGGCCTGGTGTTATGCTCATGTTCTCCCAGCGTTCTGTTGCAGGATCATAGCGATGCACAGTTTTGGTATCACTGTAGTCTTCCTGGCAGTAGCCTCCGATTACGTTGACCTTCCCCTCTAAGACCGCTGATGCTGACCCAACATGAGGCACTGGGAATGGTATAATGGCACTCCAGGAGTTGGCCACAGGGTCATAGAACTCACAGGCTAATTGATCTACCAGATGGCCATCAGCATCACACGAAACCCCTCCCGCCACGTACAGACGGTCACCTAGGGTCTCCATGCAGTGCAGGGCTTTGTCATGTGTCATCTCAGCCATGTAAGTGGATCCTCGTTCTGGGTGGTAAAGGGTCATGGTCGACAGGCATTGGTACTGGCTGTTAAAGCCTCCCGATAGGAAGATTGTGCCATTCCATACACTGGCCGCATGACAGCATAGAGCTTGATCTAATGGGCGGACAAAACTGGAGTAGGAGAGAATGAAACAGAAAGGCTTTTCATTTGAACAAAAATATGGTGCCTAATCTGACTATGGTTCAAAAACAAATCAAAGTTTAGGGTAAGGGTTTGAGCTGGTGTTTGGGTCTTAAACAATATTCAGACATATGGGTAGTTTTTGGCCAATGATTACTTTCTAGAAACGTTGTTCCAATAAAAGCTGATATCGATCATGCATGCTTAGATTCTTCCTGAAATTACAAATGCATTTCTTGTGCTATTCATTTACTCTACTAACCTCCAAGAATTTGTGTTGGGGCAGTAAACCTCAACAGTCTCCATATTGACCTTTGAGTCCCTCTCTCCACCAATAGCATATATTTTACCATTTAGGACCACAAGAGTGAAGCTGCCTCTTCTCTCGTACATATCGGTCAACCTTTGCCAAGTGTTTTGAATGGGATCGTACCTAATTCAAAGATTGAACAAGAGGTCCACAGTATGAGAAGGCAACCCTGGACAAGGTCAAATAGATGAGTCTTCATGTTACGTCTTACCTGTAGGTGCAATTCATGGTATCAGCTTTGCCGTAATAATGCCGTCCGCCAACTACATAAAGCTTGCCCCTCATTACCCCAACTCCATGACTGAATCTTGCTACTAACCTCCAAGAATTTGTGTTGGGGCAGTAAACCTCAACAGTCTCCATATTGACCTTTGAGTCCCTCTCTCCACCAATAGCATATATTTTACCATTTAGGACCACAAGAGTGAAGCTGCCTCTTCTCTCGTACATATCGGTCAACCTTTGCCAAGTGTTTTGAATGGGATCGTACCTAATTCAAAGATTGAACAAGAGGTCCACAGTATGAGAAGGCAACCCTGGACAAGGTCAAATAGATGAGTCTTCATGTTACGTCTTACCTGTAGGTGCAATTCATGGTATCAGCTTTGCCGTAATAATGCCGTCCGCCAACTACGTAAAGCTTGCCCCTCATTACCCCAACTCCATGACTGAATCTTGGTTTCTCAGGTAAAGTTCCCAGCATTCTCCACTCTACTTTCTTCACCAATCCAACATGGTTCTGCAAGGAATTGCTAAACCACATTTCCCTAGAGGGTCTACGTTTGTCAAAATTATCAGTGATCCTCTCGCCCCCAACAAGGACTAGAGTGTCTTTAGGCATATAGGCCCTGAAATTGGACTGAACATCTGAAGAACTGGAACAGAACTCCTCAAGGAGAGAATCGTATAGTTTTTTGGTGCCAATTCTCGGCCAAGACGTTATGGACTTGACTTCTTTGAACTCCTTAAAGGTCATTAAGGGAAACTGGACAGTTCCCATCAGCTCCCTGGCAAGTTTCACCTGTTGTCTGGGAAAGGCTTCGATCCAAGACATGACTGCTCTGAATACGGGCAACTCTGAGGGAACGCAGAGAGAATCACTTTGAAGGTACTTCTTCAGTTTCTCTACAGGAAGATCTTGGAACTTTGGAGTGACGGACACATCTTTAAAGTGCCTCAAGACATAGTCATTGGCCAGTGCAAGTAAGTCCACCATTCCGTAGGACTCTGCGAAAGATGCTACATCCAGGCAGCTGTAAGCATCTATTTCTTGTTGCAGGAAGTTAAGGCATAGTGAGAAGGCAGTCTGAAACTGTAATTGAAGAGATGTACAGGTGAGATCAAACACACAGCCCCATCCGAGCGCAAGAGCCCCGCTGTAGGTGTAGTGCAGGAGGGCTTCAAACTTGGCAGCCGCCACTAGCAGCAGAGACACCAATTCCTGTCGGCTCTCCTTCATACCGCTGGTAAACATGCCTCTAAAGTAGTCGCTGCTGGCAGCCAGGAGCGCCCGGTGAGCTTCACGAAGGTGGGACATAAAAAAAACATTACAAGCAGTTCTGCAAATGCAGAAAGCATCAAATTAATACTTTGAGCTAGAGAAGTATAAATGTATATTATATGGAGACAGCCTTTAGCTTCATGCATAGGAAACTCAAACATTTGCCATATTTCCAAGTGTCTTACCATGAAACACTCTTCCTTCCACTTCAAGCTCCACATCACATCCCATTCTCTGTGTCCACAACTGTCTGATATGCTGGAGACTAATTTTCATATGTTCCACAGCAGAAATCTCTTTCTGTCCACTTTCTTCCCTCTTGCCTCATCCTCTTCTCTCTCTTCCTCCTCTTTGCAGAGTTCCAGAATTCTTGGAGCTTCCAGGCTGACCGCTGCAGACCAAATCTGTTCTATATTTCCTTTGTTCAGAATGCCGATGTTCCCTGTATAGGCGAACTCCACCACTGCTGCCAACCCAGAACCATGAACCTCAGGAGCCAAACACAAGGAGATAAACTGCTCTCGTTTGGGCTTCTGTCTGAGTCTGGTCTGAATAAGGTAACTGATCGCAGCCAAGACAAAGGAATGGACCTGGAACTGGTATCCATCCTCTGTGAAGAGGGTCAAGTCAATGAGGACCGAATGCAACATCATGTTCTCCAGAGCCTGGAAGACCACACCTGGGTAAGCTGGATCAGAGTATAGCTTCTTGGGATAAATGTCACAATCCTCATCTTCAGAACTGCTACTTCCATCATATTCATCATCATCATCATCATCTTCCTCCTCCTCCTCTAACTCTTGATTTATTAGTTCCTGTTCAGAGCTGGAGTCCGTCATGTGCTGCTCTTTATCTCTAAATGTTAAACCTCCAAATGTTAAGTCTTTTTCAGAACCACCAATGTCATCGGTACTGATGGAGGCAGTAGCAAAACAGTCATTTTCAATATCATTGTTGTATTTATCGTAATCTTTATCAGTGCTTTTATTATTTTGTCCACACACAGCAGCTAAGCTGTCAACATGTGCATAAGTAACAGCTAAATTCGTTATATATTCTTCATTGCCATTAATGTCCACATGTATATTACATCCACTCTTGTCATCATTGACTTTATCATTATTTGTAAGTGAAGCAACTAAACCTTCACTGTTTCCAGACGTAGAAGGTAAACTATTACTACATTCTTCATCATTATTTTTGTCATCTTTTTTGTCAGCATCCTCTTTATCACTTTTTGTGGATGCAGGAATTAAACCATCACTGTTTGCAGGCATAACAGAAAAATTCATCTTCGTCATGTTCATTGGCATCCTCTTCATCACTGGTTGTATCAGTATTTATAATTGCAGGGACTAAACCCTCACTTTTTGCAGATGCAACAGGTAAACTAACGCTATACTCTTTCTCATCATACTTATCACTATCATCACTAGTATCATTTGTAAACACATCCACTAAGTAATCATTGTTGCTAACAGGAAAACTATTACTGCGTACTGCATCAATATTATTGTTGTTGTCATATTTTTTGGCATCCTCTTCATCACTGGCTTTATCATTATTAGTATACATAGCAAAAACGCTGTCACTGTTTGCAGGCATGAAAGGAAAACTAACACTACATCCTTCGTTGTCATCAACATCCTTCTCACTTTCCCGTGCATCTACTTGCAGCTCCTTTGTATCCTTTTCTTCTGTCCGTTCATCTTCCTCTCCTGGATTCTTCTCATCCTCCACTTCTTCACCCGCATCCATCCATCCATTGTCGCTGCTCGAGTTTTCATCCTCTCTTGATCTTCTCCACTCTCTCTGAAGACACTGCTGATCTATTGCCATTGTGTCTTTAGGTTACTGTCAAGAGCAAATCTTCAAAACGCTCCCTTCTGTTCAAAAGCCAGGACAAGTTCCATCAAATCTGTTTCCCAAATGGTGTTGGATCTCTCTGTTGATGTAGGATCATGTACTGTAGTCTGGTATGCAAAACAGATCAGTGTCTCATGAGGTCACACAAAACAGAACTCTATTTTTACCTCAAGCCTTTAATAAGATCACATCTCAAGCCATCTAAGACAGTCATGCTATGTCTTGTGCTGATTAATAAACAGTTTATTTGTTGCACAACTGTCTACTTATATGTTTAATTGTGTGTACAAAATCAAGTTATTTTTGAGGATGTGCTTTGTCTGATAGTCTGATATCTGATAGTGTTTTCCAAACCCTTTCTTAGCAATTTCCCAGCATGAGAACTGACCCTTCCTACTTTTTTTGTACACTTAACCAAGCACCATTTTTCCAGTGCATTTTATTGCAAAGAAAAAAAAATGTCTGGCATCCCTTCTCAGATGATGTGTCTTATTCTTCAGCTCCTGTTTCACTTGGTTTGAATAAACAGAAAAGTCAAATAGGCTGTGAAAGCCATTCTGTGTCGACTTTGAGAACATCATAGCAGAGAATGTCTCCTAAGTCAAAAATAATGCACCTAATCTGACTCATTAAATGTTACTTTTGGTTTATAGCGTTGAAAACACCTAAAACATCTTGAAAGAAATTACCTTTTGCCCTGTTGCTGGACCAGTAGCCTTTCCACAAACTCAAGACTGTGCCAAGATCATTTTATAAGCGCAACTTCTTCGCTGTCCTGCCCTTGACTGCGTCTCTGGCTCAGTTCTGGGCCATACGAAACTTTAGAGCGAGTGCTGGGAGCATGTGATGCCTTGAGGCATTAGATTCTGATCGTGTCAGTTTATCCTACACAGCCTGGGAATGTTATCTGGGTCAAGGAGCCCAGGGCAGATAGAAACAAGCAATTTATATACTTGAAGATTGTTTTTCTTGCATTCTCGCTCTTTTTTTTTAAATGCTTTTGTAATTATAATTGCACATTTCGTTTGTTTTAATGCTTTTTCAATTGAAATAGCATACAACTGTTCTGTTTATTGTTTGTATAGACCCATACACTAAGACTGTCATATTGACTGTCATATTAAGTATTTTAACCTTTTTTTAATCGTAATTGTATTGAGGCATATAAAGAATAATAATGCATACTGTTATGATATAACCAGCTACATCCTTCTAATAGAAACACACACACAGATATATCCCGGCTCATGTGTACATTAGGCTTCTCCATGTCTTTTGTCTGTCCATGTTTGGGAAGCGTGAATGCGCGAGACAGCAGATGGAAACCTGCGGCGCTGTAAGAGCTACAAACAGAGGAGCAAATGTCACTGGCGGCCTTGGACTGGAAACCTGCTGGAGATGCCAAGAGGCCACAGAGACAGACAGAGAAAATATACTCATGCTAAGACTCTATTAGGGCCTACCTGTCTTATTAATACGTTAACACCCAAAAAGTATCTGAATTAGCAACACTTAAACTTCACCTAAACGGCATCCATTTGAGAGACTTAAACTGGTAAAAAAAAAAAATTATATATATATATATATACATACATACATACATACAGTACATATATAATTCTTCTGAAATCTAGGCTTAATTTTCTGATAAGCTATATATATTATCTCTTAATTTGATTTCATGTTGAAATATGACATGTTCTTGTCATGCTTTGCGAAATTCACCTGGAAATAATTATTATATACTTTGTTGTGTTTTTAAGAGAAAATAAGTCACTTAGACTTGCTGTCAAACTATAATTTTAATTCTCTTAAAATCTAGACAGAGACTCATTTTACAATACCATTTTCACAAGGAGAAAACATTTAAAATAAAAAGGGGAAAAAAAAGCAATAAGCAAATATGAATAAATGTGAAATCTAAAATGAGCTGGAATGAGGTACAGATGCGCACCGCTAGTCAATTCTCATAGCGATAATATTCAACATAAACATGCAGCTGATAAAGTAAGAGGAAAATTGTGCACGTTCACACTCAGATAATGAACTAATGATGAAGGATTATGGGAAAAGTTTGTCTGAACTCATCAGACCTGACTCACGCTTGTGCTTCTGTCAGTGAATATTGCGTCTGGAGATGATTCAGATGAGTCACTGTCTGTGAAATACTGCAGTCGCCTTTACAGTGAGCCAGAGTGAGACAAACAACAGCCCTTTACACAGAGGAACAAATCCTTGAATGACACGATGAAGCGTCAGGAACAGATGAAAGATGGCAAAAGCAAGAGGAATGGAAACTGCTATGAGCTCATTTATACCAAAAAGAGTTTGAAAAAAGATTGACGCTTGCATAGATTCAGCCCACATGTGGCGGTGGGCCTTATGTGCTTCTCTCCCTCACACACACACACACAGCATGAAGAATTAGATAACAGCTCTATTTCTGATGACACTGAGAGATGGTGCAGAGGTTCAGCAGACACGAGGAGTGGTTCACTTCATGGAGATGCAGATCTGAGCTGCTTTTACTGATGTTCAAGTCAACATGAAAGCCACTTTCCTCATAAATGTTCCTGGTCTTATTGTGCATGGTTTTCATAATCTCTCAGTGAAAGTTCTTTGTCCCTGAAACAACTTTCTTTTGCACTTGATGTCAAGGCTGCCAAATAGCTATTCAGCTGCTTTTGTAAGTGACTCAGCCTTTCTAAAATCTTTGTGAAGTCATTCAATGCTGGGTAATGTACTAAATTGTATGGCAATGATAGCTGATGAGGGTGAACTTGACCTTCATCCTCCACGTTTTAGGTCAAAAAACCTCCTCAAACTCACTTAACGCCCACTTTACACCTCTGCATCAAACCCTGATGAATAAAACCAAGTCCAGATCTACATTTTATGTTCTTGTTGACTCAGAAATCCATTCAATTGAAAAAGTAAAACAGAATGTGAATGCATTGCATGTTGACTTTAAATACAGACGTGAAACTTTCTGCAAAGAGAAAAGCATTTATACTGAAATCTGATGAATCATATGACTAAGATCTTTCAAATAGCACATGCAGGGGTGTTAAAGTACTTCATTGTACTTCATTAATATACTTAAGCATTAATTTGGGAATATGTTCTTTGCTCGAGTGATTTTGAGACTGCAACTTTTACTCGTACTTGGTTCTTTGAAATGTGGAGCAGTTTTTCCTTAGAAAAGTAAATGTTTCACAAGTCATTATTACTTAAATATGTTCTATTATATAAAAATATAGGCCTATATAGTGTTTTTATCTTACTAAGCTGTTAAGCCAATCAAACTGAGCTCTTGTGGGTTTTTTTTTTTTTTTTTTTTTTTACAGCCAATGAAATCCATTTCAATGTGAAATGTAATTGGTCACAATTTTGCAGTCATTTGTGCTTTTGAAGATATGCCTTAGTTAAAAAAGTATAACTTTATGATTCAACACATTTAGATGTGGAAACAACTTTTTGACACAGTATTCCCTCACTTAAGTACAGAATCGCTGTAATTGTACACCCCTGATCATGTTGTGCGTACAAATGCGCTTTTTGTCAATAAACTTGATGTCTTTGGTGTCCAAAAACTACAGGAGCCCATTTCCACCACAAGATGTCATAATCATGACATAAAAAGTAAAAAAATTATGCCATACTAAGCCATAATTATGAAAGAAATTATTACTTTTTATCTCATAATTTAGATTTTTATCTCATAAAGATTTTTGTCATATTTTGACATTTTTATGTCCTAATTATGACTTAGTATGTCATAATGATTTTTGTCATAATCTGACATTTTTATCTCAATTATGAATTACTGTCATAATTTCAACTATTGTCTCATAATTATGACTTAGTCTATCACAATTTTGGCTTTTTATCTCATAATTATGACTTAGTATGTCTTTATTTTCCCCTTTTATCTCATAAATGTGATTTAGTATATCATAATTTTGACTTTTTATCTCATAATTATGACTTAGTATATCATAATATTTTTTGTCATACTTTGACATTTTTATCTCAATTAAGACTTACTGTCATAATTTCAACTATTATCACATAATTATGACTTAGCGTATCACAATTTTGGCTTTTTATCTCATAATCATGACTTAGTATGTCATCATTTTCCACCTTTATCTCATAATTGCGACTGTGTATCATAATTTTGACTTATCTCATCATAATTTTGACTTAGTATGTCATAATGATTTTTGTCATAATTTGACATTTTTATTTCAATTATGACTCTGTCATAATTTCAACTATTATCTCATAATCATGACAAGTTCTCAATTCCAGTCCTCGCGTACCCCCGCTCTGCACATTTTGTATGTTTCTCTTATTGCTTATATTTGACTGTAAGTGCCCTGCGAAGTGGACATTACCGGATATTCCACCATGATTCCAGTTTGAAGGGAGCGTATATTTTCCATACAAAGGGCATTTAAGTGTGCGAGACGTGAATTTAAATTGTATTTATTTACAGAGGTATATTATGTCCCACTTCACGCTTCTCTAGTAAGTTTCGTATGTGTGTGAAGATGCTGCAGGCAGCGGCGCAGCGCAAATCTGTAAATGAATATTCCGAAGTGAAGTAAACTTCAACGGATTGCCCCTGCTTAGGGAGTAGGGAGCAATGGACACTGTGTAGGGACCATGTCAGTCGGAACACAGTTCATGCACGGAGCTCACTTCTAACGAGATGATGATCTGAATCAGGTGTGTTAACAAAGAGAGACATGCAAAACATTCAGAGCGGGGGTACGCGAGGACTGGAATTGAGAACCACTGACTTAGTGTATCACAATTTTGGCTTTTTATCTCATAATTATGACTTAGTATGTCATCATTTTCCACTTTTATCTCATAATTGCGACTTTGTGTATCATAATTTTGACTTCTTATCTCATAATTATGACTTGGTGTGTCACAATTATGACTTTGTATCTCATAATTATTTACCAAAGCATTTTTCAAGCTTCTGTAGATCACACTGTATAAAAGGGTCTAATATACTGTACATGTAGACACAACTAAAAAATAAATTAATTGATTCATATGATGAAGAGGGTTATTCAGAGATGTTTTAAGGCAATGTCAAGTATCTGTGAGCGGTAGGAGGAATGACACAAGAACGATGATAATGGATACGGAGAGAGGGACGATGAGCAGATAACAGGACACAGGGCAAGAAAGAGGGACGGGAAACACTGTCAGGGTCCATTTTCCACTGTCGGGTTTGTCGTCTGTGATGGTTTGAGTCTCCCGCGCTGCACAGCGGCAGATTACCAGCGGCCGCACCTGAGAAATGCTCTCCTTTGAGACAGAAACAATGAAAGGAAGAGGAATCCAGTCAATTTTGAGTCTTTCAAGCTGTCTAAGCTTGTAACACTCCAAAGAGAAAGGAAAACTTGAAATCGCATCATATGACCCCTTTAATAAAAACTATAATAGTATATTAATGATAATAAAATAACTATGCATATTTTCTATGTATACTTATAATGGTACAAGTAAATAAAAATATGTTTTTTAGTTTATTTGGTGAAAGACAAACAGTGAAAATCATGCCTTCATTATTTTTATCTAGATTAATAATTTTGAATACATTTACAAATTAATTTCAGACAATAATTAAGATGTATATTTCAGCGATATCATTCCATGTTTTCTGCAGGATTTTAAAGCTCAAATTTAAGACTTTTTAAGACTTATATATATATATATCTTCGTATAACCCCACTTCTTAAACAATTAATCCAAAATGCCGCTGCAAGATTAATCTTTAATGAGCCGAAAAGAACGCATGTCACACCTCTGCTCATCAATTTGCACTGGCTACCAGTAGCTGCTCGCATGAAATATTGATATTGAAATATTGATTTGTCGATATTGACAAAAAATGATATCTTGATAATATTCTGGGATTTTATCGATAACGATAATTAAACGATATTTTGCTGAGTGTGTTACTGTGCTGATATCTTAAGGACTACCATGGACAGCTGACTCCTGAATTTTTTGATATTCTTCATATTCTTTGTGGTCAGTTCACAGCAGTAATATAAATTAATAATTTCCAACACGTTTTATGGGCCTTTTTACCTTTAAGCCATTTTTTCTAAAAGTGTGCACCATCTTTTGAGTCAAATTCTTGCATTTGGGTTGTTACCAAGCAAATCAAATCAACACCAACAAAATGTATCTTTGTAATGCAGAGGAAACACAGAAGCTGCATTAGAAGTGTCATTTAGATGCATTTACACACTGTTTAATGCAGCTCTGAGGGACATTAAATATTTTACCCTGCAATTACAAATGCATAAATAATGTGTTGATATTTTAAACATAAAACATTGAAAACTGATGTTTGAAATTATTAAAAAAATGAAAAGGTACCTTAAATGTGAAATTAAAACCGCCAGTAGGTGGCAGCAAGTCACT